CTTGTCTTTCTGGCAGTAACCTTGTTTAGATGAGTTAAATATTACTTCCTTTGTTGCCTGAATCTCTCCAATCTCTCCAGTTCTTAGATTTTTTTTTTTTTTTTGGCTTGCTATAGTGTCCTTGCAATGTGGCAATTGAAGCTCTGGATGAGGGACTTCTGTAATGATTTGGATGCATGCATGTGTGGTGTTTAAAAAATATTTGGTGCATTCAGATTTGATGTCTAAATGGATTTAATCTCCTGAATATACATAAACAAAGTGTTTCTTCCACCTTACTTTTAGACTTATTTCCGTTGTACTACTGCTAGTACTGGGCTCAAGCTGTCGGAGGGAAAGGGGGAGGCTGTATTTTTGCAGAACTTTGTAGCTTGTTGCTGACGCTTGAGAGGTTGGGAAATACATGTTTTCTGTTTCATGTGAGTGATAATCTCAATATGACTGAATTTGGAGGGAGCATGTTGTTGACCTAATGTTTGTCAGTGATAAACTAGAAAACAGACCATTTAATCTCAAACAAGGACATCCATGCACACTCTTTCTGGTTGCTGGATTTAGCATTTAAACGTTCAGTGGAACTGCAGCAGCCTTTCCTGGCACTTGGAAAGCAAATCTTTAAGCATCTTGATCTGTGTTTGGACAAATCTGAGAACTGATCTTTTTCCTGTTAAAAACAGGATTGTCCTTGTTTCGAGAGTTGGAGACTTCTGTTTGAAGCAATGAGTTAAATATTGCTGCAGTAGCTCTGAAGGCAAACAGAGCTGCCGTTGTTTGCTCCATAATAGCACTTGCTCAGCCTCGGACACTAGAATATTTTACAAGATGGGGAATGTTGGCTAGGGTCCTGGAGTGTGGGGTTTTTTTACTGAAGTGCTTAGGAGCTCTAGATTTATCAAAGGACAGCACCCTTCAAATAAGCAGTATCTTCAAAGTGTCACCATTGGTTTAGCCCTGAACCTGTGATTTCAGAAGTATCCTAGCATCAGTTTCTCTGTAGCAGCTTAACAGAAGCTTTCTCTATCAAAGGCTGTTTGTCCCTACAAGTCATCTGGTAATTTTGAACATCCCTGTTCTAGAGAAAGAATTCTTTACGGAACTCTTACTAATCCTTTCAATTGTCATTTTTCTTTTTTTCTTGACCGTTACTACCTACTAGCTTAAAAAGTAGCTACGATACAGGGATTCAGATATTCCAAAGTGTGCATTAGACGATTTTGTATTTGATAGGAGTTATTTGTCTGCGTGTTTGAAGAGGCATCTGTTAACAGGTCACCAGATAACTGGTGGAAAGATGTATTGCTGGTAAATAGCTACAATTCAGTAATTGCAAACATGCAACAAGTTGCACTCTAAAACTAGATAAAACGATTGCTGACACTTAAATATCAACCTTAAAATGCTAAATTTGATTTTGCTAGGTTGTCTTGGAAGGTAGGTATTTTTTTCTAGACCTATTCCAGCTTGTTACATGTTGGTGGTCAAATTAAATTTCCACTGGAAACCACATATTCTTAACTGTTTTTTTAAGAACACTGTATGATGTAGTTCTTCAGTAATTTGCTGCCACAAAGAACTTTAACATATTACTTGTGTTACCTTTTATACATGTGAGAAGCCTCTTGTGAGTTTGAAATCCGGAGTTGCCAGCAATGCTATGCTAACTGCCATGTGGAGATGCATTCTCAGAGAAGGCAGGGAAGGGTAGGTACGGAATGGGAACACTCTTTCCCTTTCCTTCGGTTGAGATGTCCTACTAGAAAGGCTAAAACATAGGCTGCTGATTTCAGACTTACTTTGTTCGCACCTAGATTCCATACATGGTGTTTACCCTTAGGTCAAATTTGGTGCTTCTAAGCAGTTCCCTTATAATCCCAGTGTTTACTGCTGTAACTTTGACAGCAATGTGTGATTCTGAAAAGGTCACCAGCTCTGCTTTCTAGCTGGAATATTCTACAGGAATGGACGTAGAAGACAAACGTAGTGTGGAAAATTTTAATGAATAAAGTCTACCAGAGGCTACTTGTCAGAGAGCAGTGTAAAGGAAAATGGTGTTGAGAGTTTCTCAAAGGAAATGTTTCTGTTGATCCTTTAAAAAAAAAAAAAAAAAAAAAAAATTAGCCTGCAAACACACAGGTGTTTCTGCCTCTCAAGTGTGAATGTGAGTATTTATGTATGTTCATGTTTTTTTAACTGAACCCATTTCATCATTATACTTAATCATAGCTTTGCATCTGGATATTTTGTAGGTCTGGTATTCTGTAAGAGTTCCAGGAGCATAGTTATATTATTTTTGATCTGATACCAACCTCATACTCAAAGTATTATGGTCAGAAATAACCGAGGCAGGAAACTTTCTGATCTATTCTGGCTTCTAGTTTTCTTTACATTGCGTGACCCTAAATATTGTCAGATTTTTCAGTTAGCTAAAAAGCTGGACCCTAGCAACACAGGTATTTCGACTGGCAGCATAACTTCTTTTTCATTGTTTTAGGTTTTAGAAACGGATGTTGGACTGCAGCCCATGTACTGGGTGTTGTAGTAAGGTTCCTGTGTTTATGTAGCCAGAGGCTGTCTCTGCCCATGTGAACAGGCCTCCAGACTGAGGATACAGCATTATGTCAGGAGTAGTATTAAGCCTTCCTTTGAGGAAGAGCAAGTGAACTGATGGTATTGAAGTACTGTCATAGAGTCTTAAGGGGTAAAAAATATGAATTATGGTTAGGCAGGTAAATTGGTAACAAGATTATGTAGGAATCATAACAAAACTGGATCTTGGTGACAAAATCGGTGCAGTAATGATTGCATGAATTTTCTCTTCCCTCTTTGAGGGAACACAAGTCTTATATGTGGAAGCAAGCATGCAGATTTTTATGAGAAAATGGAGTTGAGTGGTGTATGCAAAGACCAGGAAAAAAATAGTTATGAGGACATATTTGAATAAGAGCATTAATTGTGACTTAAAGAGCCACAGTGGAGACAACAGACCTGTATCTTACATTGAACAGGAAAAAATTACTCATAAGCATGCTGTATCTTGCTCTCTATGCTTTGTTGCAGGAGGTGTGCTTTGAAATTTGCATTAAAGTCTCTTAAATATGTGGCAAAAGTGGTATAACATAAATAGCTTTTTCCCTTCATCCCCCTTTTTCAATCTCATCAACCTTCAAAGAAACAATTTTGGATGATGTGCTGTGGCCAATGGAAATAGTAGTGATTGTTCTGTTCTAAACTTGCTACTGTATCCCATTACCAGTTTTTAGATGCCTTACTAGTAAATGCAGGAGCAAACCTTGTCAAAAAAGGGAGTCAAAGTAAGATTTGGAGTGTTGGACCAAAACCCATAAGACTTTGTACCCAGACTGCTGAAACTGGGGCTTGTGCAGGTGACAACTCATTTCTGGCAAGTAATCACTTCGAGCTTGTTCAGAGGCTTCATTGTGATATAAGCACATGAAAAGCACAGCACAGTTGCTTTAATATGACAGATACTTGAGATGTAGATAAGTGTTCCAAAAATATTTACTTACTTTTCAGGCAAAAAGTGCAAATTAAGCCTGTAGTTGTTCACTCCTAACAATACACAAGATGTTGTATCCTTGATAAGTTCCTCCTTGCAGTAGTCTGCTGTTTCAGAAGAACTAAGCATATTTAGAAGTTACATTTCTTTATTCTTGGGTGGTAGGTGAAGAAAGGCTCTCGTCCTGTGTAGGTATTCAGTGTTGTGATTCTTACTTGCTTAAGAAACACTCCATCTGTGTTTAAGGAGAGTCATTTTTGTTGGGTTTTTTTTAGTGTCATGTTTTTATGGAATCTGTCCCTTTTGGTAGTGTTTTGGTCGTAATGGTTTGTGTGTGGATCTGCTATAGGAGACTAACTAGATTTTCACTACATCAGCTTATTATTTTTATAAGTCTAATTAGACAGGTTGATAAAACATGGTGGAAGTGTGTCCATATTCTACAGTAAAAGTAAGCCGTTCAAGCGTTATGGTAAAGATGTTGGTGTATTGGACCTAACAGAATGGCTTGAAGTTAGCCTGAGGCACAGGTTGAGTTCTAAAGGTCATAAAGGTCGTGGTCCAAAGACCAAATTAATGTGAGAAATAGCAGTATATTTGTCCTTAGAAAGTCTTCCAGTATCTAGAATTAGACATAATTTCCAAGCGGTTGATTAAGGGAGGGGCAAGAAAATTCTCATAGCTAACTTCCTAAGTGAAGCAAAACCTACAATACTTTTTAGCTTTGTGCTGGATTTAAGTAACAATCCGTTGAGGCTAACTTAAATCTTTAGTTTGTGTGAGAATTCTGATCACTTATTTGGGGTAAAAAACCCAACAGACTTAATTGATGAAAAGGTTGGAAACCTGTACAATCTGTGGAACTGTGTGGTTTTTTTGTAGTCGATATAAGACCAGCAGATCTTATACCAGGCGGCTAACTATACCTTCTCTCTGGCCTAGCATAATTTGTAGGAAGGCTCAGCCTAACACTGTCAGGGGTCTTTGCTGACACAGGCAAAATACCAGCAGGGCCAGCAATTGGCAGACGCCTGGTTCCCTGTCTTCTGTCAACATATTTGAAGTATCTACTTGTGATTATATTTTAATATGACCTTTAGTTTACGTGGAACAGCCACTTAGGGTGGTAAAGGACCATGCATGTAGAGGTAAAAATAGACTGAAGTTGAGCTATTTTCCTAGACTGAGTGGGTGAGTGTCTAATTCCTTAAGTCACTGTTAACAGGGACAGTTTACAAGAGGATCTGGGATTACTATAGTGACCCTGTGGGACTCTTTTGGAATGTGGTGAAAAAAAGACATCTTTAAGTACTAGTTATAGGTAAAAAAACAACAAAACCAAAAACACCCAAAAACGCTGTTAAGCATTTCTTTCAGGTATGAGACTGAATGTTTGTGTCTGTGCCATTTATTTATATCTTCTGCAAATCTGAACTCTAGAAGTTCTTTAATATATTTCTGTTTTTAACTTTTGTTAAGGTCATAATGGTTTCCATCCCTGAATACTATGAAGGAAAGAATGTCCTCCTGACAGGAGCTACAGGCTTCATGGGAAAAGTGCTTCTGGAAAAGCTGCTCAGATCTTGTCCTAAAGTGAAAGCAGTGTATGTATTGGTAAGGCACAAAGCAGGGCAGACGCCTGAAGCACGAATAGAAGAAATTACCAGCTGTAAGGTATGTGTCATGCTCACAAAGTACATTTTTGTCCTTCTTTATAACATTCCCACTTCATTTTGAGAACAACTTTGGTTTATCTAAAGCAAAATTTTGTTGTTAATTTTTTTTTTAATTCTAACAGAAATATAAAATCCAAGACTTAGCAGTGCTTCTATAGCTGGTTTTCAAGCTGTTAGTGTCTAGCAAAGCCAGTAGTGGAAAATTATCCTGTGTTTAATTCAGGAGGAGGATGTTCAGCTGTAATGCAGAATTGAGAAGAAAAACACCCGAGTTAAAACTGATTGAGAGAATATATTATCAAATTCAAGAGGCAGTGTGGACTGGGAGTTGTAAGATGGGATTGAGACCCTTCTTTAGATCTCAAGCAAGTCACTTTTTCTTCTTTGTGCCTTATTTTCTTTTCTGTAAGATGAGGCTTAGTACTTCCTTTTTCTTGGTTGTGCTATTGGATCTACCAGTAAGCAAGAATGTGATTTCAACAGGTCGTTTAAATAGCTTATGTTTGTAAACAGAACAGAAATGTTTGTCTTAATAGATTCTATTACAGACTTGTTAGTCATACAGATTACTACAAACCTGTGACAATGAAGGAGAGGCACTGAAATTTTGTGCTCTGGAATTATCAAAGTGCTTATGTAAATAATTTTCTGTGCAAGCACTATTTGCTGTACCTCTAAGAATTGCAGAGGCTTTAAATGCTGTCTTGGCAGTTTTGTCCTTTAAGGTGAAGCTTTGTGCTTGGGAAATCAGTTCAAGACCTCTATCACTGGAGATGTCCCATATTCTCACTATAACATTACCACTACTACTACTTTAGGTGGTGACACAGTGAGCTGCATTAGCTCACAGTTGAGTTGAAAAATATCTAAAAAAAAAAATATTTTTCAGCTGGACCTGCAAGCTGGTATGCTCACACAGCTATCAGGCTACTTGTTTTTGCCAGTGCAGGAGAAGCAATGTAAAAATAAAGAAGCTAGGAGAGGGACCAATGTGTTTGGTAGCAGTACAGGCTTAAATTGCCTTATGTGTCATGAAACTGCACCTTTAGGTGATTTGATTTCTAGTTGAAAATGAATTAAATGTCTTTTAAGTATTTGCATTTGGTATAACTACATGCTTGGAGGGGAAAAAAAAAAGTACTGCTCTGATTGTAGTACATTTTAATTGACTTGTATTGAAGCAGTTGCTAAGATATTGGCCCCTGTGCAATTAAGAAGAGGGGTCTGCTCTGGTGAAATTTTCAAGTATGTTTTATTCCCACAGTACTATTTTGCTCAGGAAAACTCGCATACTAATGAGTGTAAATAAGGTGAGGCAAGAATTTTATCTGTGTGTGTTAAGCCATGTGGCTAGAACCCAGTTAATTATGAGAAGAATATATGTTGGAATAGAGTATGGGTGAGGTTTGCTTTTTGTTTGTTTTTTTGTTTTTTGGGGTTTTTTTTGTGAGAATAGTTGAACACCAATTTGATAAGATTTGATCAGATGTTCTAACATGGTGTACAGCCTTTAACCCTGCTTTTTTTCTTTCAACTAGCCAGAGAAACAATGTTTTTTAATCTGGAAATTCCTCAAAACTAGCATAATTCCGGGATAGCATTTCTTAAATCACTGGAAATTTTTAAAGCTTGATGAAAGCTTTCTAAACCTGAGAACCAGCATGACTTGGGCAAATCTATAAGAATTTGAATAGTTATTACCAAGCTTGGAAAGTGGGCAGACTTTTCCCTTTCCTTCTGTTGAAAGAAAAGAGATTGCAGTATTTAGTCTGCTACTTAAAATTTCTTTGAGTCCTGGTGTCTAATAGAGACCATTCCTTCCTTCTTCTGATACTCATAGAGATCTGGTTTTAAGGATAGGGATGAGTATTAAAAAAAAAAAATTAAGTGTAAATTGAAGTCTTATTACCTTCTATACAACACATGCAGCACTGCTTTCACTGTGTGGGATAAAGTGTGCACAGCTTCATCATTGAATATGCTCAAGGGAAGTCAGTAACATTTTGTTGTAATATTCCTAACACACTTTTCTAGCTTACTGATGATTTTTAGAAATAAGGAGGTATAACTCTGTATAGGCAGAAAATGTGGGTTTTTTTCTTCACTTAAATGAAATGTGTATCTCATCTTCACTGGCTATTACCTGAATTTTTAGTTCTATTTTTTTTGACAGCTCTTTGACAGGTTGAGAGATGAGCAACCAGACTTCAGAGCAAAAATAATAGTAATTACGAGTGAACTTACACAGCCTGAACTGGACCTTAGTGAACCAATCAAGGAAGAACTTATAGAACGCATTAATATTATATTTCATTGTGCTGCTACAGTCAGATTCAATGAAACACTAAGGTGAGTCTAAAATTCTGTATACTCTGGTCTGGTAAACCAATGGTACTCAAAGGGAGGGTGTAAATCAGGTGTCTGTGCAATCTTGCAAATATTCAGCCTGTCATGCTACTTCATGTGCTCTGATATTTGTGTGCGTGGTCAATTTCATGATGCCCCTTCAGGTAGTAATCTTTTCCCTCAAACTTATTTTAAGCTGTTGAGTTTTCATTTGCTTTTCCTAAGACGATGGAGGCATATTATATAGACCTGCTTTGCCAGAGGTTAGAATCACACTATTTAACATGGAAAAGTTCATATATTTTTAAATCTTTAGGTAAAAAGACAAATCCATTATTAGCACTTCGAAACTAAATAAATTATTCTTGTAGTTTTGCTATAGGTCTTTCAGGTTTTGTGTGGTGTGTTTGTGGGTTGTTTTGGGGGGTTTTTTGTTTGTGTTTTTTTGGGTTTTGTTTGGTTTTTTTTAACTAAATCCCTGTGCCTGAATTTCAAGGCCTTTTTGAAAGGAAGCTGTTGAAGAGACTAGGGAACGTGTTGCTATTCTGAGACTTCCTAACATCATGTATTGCTCTCATCTCTGGGATGGATAGAAAGGATATGAATAAGCTGTAGCTATAGGTACTGTGCTCACTAGTAATGTTAGAGCTTTTTTCCTAGTGTGTAAAAGGGAACAGAAACTATTCCTTTAGCCTCCCTTGTTAGAAGGGGAATGCACATTTTCAGAGGATAACTTTTTGGCAAAACTGTGTGTGTGGGAAGTTCTAGCGCTTGTTCTCTACCTGATGAACAAACAGGAGATTAAATATTGCTCAGTTTTCTCCATGTCTTCAGAAAGTCCTTCATTAAGAAGGATGGAGGTTTGCATTGGAGGGAGTATGGAGAAGTAGATGCACAGGGAGAAAGTTGAAAAATTCCATGTTGCACAGAGAATCTATTAAGGAAATACTAGAAAGAAGTACCAGAAGCAAGAAAGGATTATGTTGCTTTTTGGCAAAAACAATTACTTGATTTAGTGCTGAAACACTGGAATAAATATCCAATTTGGGTAAATGACTTTGTGAGAAATAGCTCCAACTTTTGGGAGGGGGTGGGAAGTAAAGCAACTTTGAGATAAAATGCTTCTCAACTCAGATTTTTTTTTTTTTGAGTTGTTACAAAGGCTGGCACTACCTTTCTAAGAATGTTATCCTGTATGCTGAAACATCATGAGGTAGCCTGTGTTTATCACTGTGTTATGATCATGAAAGGTTAAGGAAATGCCAACCTGACAAAAGCCCAGAGGGAATCTAAAACAATTTGAAGACTGGTAGAATGGGGTCTTGGTACAAAAAGTCTCTGGTAGTTTCTGCTTTCTTGGCGAGCCCAGTATGTTTAGCCAAATAGAAAATGCGAGCATTTCTTAGGTGCTCTGGCATCAACTCTTTCCTAACATATATGCTGGAATGCTTGGAGGAACCTTACAAATCTGAAGACCACCTAGAGCAGCCTTCATCACATATTTAACAGGAATAACTAATGTGAAGTTCAAAATACTTGGCTTGGTGCCAGTGGTAGGAATACAGTCAAGAAAGCAAAATACTTGGGCTTGTTTTGGAACTTTTCGTAAGTTGTACTTGCTATACACTTCTGTATTTTAGTGGTGCATACAGCTCTGATTATGATCTCCTTCCTTTGACTTCTTAAAAGAGGAAGTGAAGACTGAGAACAATACTTTTCTCTTAAAAACCCTAATTTATTCAGAAGCAACATTTTTCCATTGATGTTAATTACTTCGGGATAGTGGTCCCCCATTCCTGTACCCTCAATGCTTCAGTAATAATGGGTGATAAAGCAGTCTTAAATTTGGTGCTTATCTGGGGGACACACACCAAGATTTTTATTGTTAATATAACACTTTATTGCAAAGACTTTGATAAAGCTTTGTTTAGCTGTATTCTTGAAACTTAGTTGATTGATACACTGTATACAAGAAAACTAGTGCCCATAGTAAGTTTTATAGGCTGGAGAGAGAATCTGAACTATATAAAATTCTGGTGGGTTGACCCTGGCTGGACACCAGGTGCCCACCAAAGCTGCTCTATCACCACCACCACCCCACCCCCCCCTCAGCTGGACAGGGGAGAGAAAATATAACAAAAGGCTTGTAGGTCCAGACAAGGACAGGGAGAGATCACTCAGCCAATTACTGTCACAGGCAAACCAGACTCGACTTAGGGAAATGAACTTAATTTATTGCCAATCAAACCAGAGTAGGGTAATGAGAAATAAAACTAAATCTTAAAACACTTTCCCGCCACCTCTCCCTTCTTCCTGGGCACAGCTTCACTCCCGAGTTCTCTACCTAATCCCCACCTCAGTGGTGTGGGGGGGATGGGGAATGGTGTCTGGGGTCAGTTCATCACACGTTGTCTCTGCTGCTTCATCCTCTTCAGGGGCAGGACTCCTCACATTCTTCCCCTGCTCCAGCGTGGGGTTCCTCCCATGGGAGACAGTCCTCCACAAACTTCTGCAACATGGGTCCTTCCCATGGGCTGCAGTTCTTCATGAACTGCTCCAGCGTGGGTCCCTTGCAGGGTCACAAGTCCTGCCAGCAAACCTGTGCCGACATGGGCTCATCTCTCCATGGGTCTGCAGGTCCTGCCAGGAGCTTGCTCCAGCATGGGCTTCCCATGCCTTTGGGTGCATCCTCTGGCGTGGGGTCCTCCCTGGGCTGCAGGTGAAGATCTGCTCCCCCGTGGACCTCCCTGGGCTGCAGGGGGACAGCCTGCCTCACCGTGGTCTTCCCCAGAGGCTGCAGGGGAATCTCTGCTCTGGCGCCTGGAGCGCCTCCTCCCCTCCTTCTGCACTGACCTGGGGGTCTGCAGGGCTGTTTCTCTCACGTGTTCTCACTCCTTTCTCCAGCTGCAGTTTCTGTGCCTCACCAACTTTTTTTTACCTTCTTAAATACGTTCTCCCAGAGACACTCCCACCGTCGCTGATGGGCTCAGCCTTGGCCAGTGGCAGGTCTGTCTTGGAGCCGGCTGGCATTGGCTCTGTCGGACATGGGGGAAGCTTCTAGCAGCTTCTCACAGAACCAACCCCTGTAGCACCCCTGCTACCAAAACCTTGCCATGCAGACCCAATACAAAAATAATTACAGTAGTTGTTCAGTAAGCTGTGTTCTGGTGGGAATTGTAGAGACAGACCTACTCTCCTACAGTATCCTGAAGGACTCTATTTTAATGAGAACAGTGAAGTTGGAGGATGAAAGTGTGCTGCTTGGTGCGTTTCCTTTTTTTTTTTCTTCCTTCCTCCCTGTAATCTTGTTGTGCTACAAGAACATGCCAGTCTCCAACTTACTAGCCCTCTAAGCCTTCCTTCTGAGGAGTTGACCTGGTTCAACTTGAACTAGGAATTTCAGGTATGCATCTCATGGCAGCTAGGTGTTGTGTTGCATTATTCCTTTCAGGTTTTGTGAAAAATGTAGGTTTGGGATTTAGCTTGAGGAGATCAAAGGTATGCTGGCTTTCCCACTCTAGTAATGGGGCATGAGGATGCCAGTAAGAACAGGGTAAAACTTAGGAAAATTATCCTGAATATTGAGAGATGGTCTAGGTTAAGACTGTGGCATATGGTTCTAAGCAGAAAGTTAGGATGATCTGTGCTGCTTTTTGGGGGAGGGTGGAGTATTTAGGAATACTTTTATATATCCATCACTGAGGCATTTAGGAGTGAATTGACTAGTTACTATGTTTTGCTTGTGTTTTGTCTTGCTTTCTGCTAATGAAATTTCTGTTTAATCAACAGAGATGCTGTTCAGTTAAACGTGACTGCCACACAACAGCTCCTCTTCTTGGCACAGCGAATGAAGAATCTGGAAGTGTTCATGCATGTTTCAACGGCCTATGCGTACTGCAATCGAAAACAGATTGAGGAAATAGTTTATCCACCTCCTGTTGATCCCAGGAAACTGATAGATTCTCTTGAGTATGTGTTATGTTTTATGAAGCTACTTCAGTAATCTGTAACCACTTGCTTTGTAGTAATGAAGTACCAAAAAATGGTTAGGAACCTGAAAGATGAAGAAATTAGCTTATTATGCTTGTGCTTATGTCTGACAGCATGGCTGACACTTGCCTTTTCTGTAAAGAAGATGGGTTAAGGTTTTACAGTCATGTTCAGCTGAGCTAGGCGTGGAGCGGTACTGAAGGAGAGGGATGCTCATGTCTACTCGTGATGTCTCCTGTATGCTGAGTGGCAGTTTTTCCACTGTATGATGAGCTGAATCAAGAGCTATTAAAAACAAAAAAGCTGTGCTGTTACAAGTGCGGTAGCACCAGCATTGTGAAGGAAAGGGGTAGAACCAAGACAGTCCACTTTAACAGCAGCCTTCACTACATCTGCCTAAATGCCATTACAAGATCAGACTGAGATACTGCAATAATATTACTTAACTGTTTAGAAACACAACTGTAGGAGTGGTTCTGTTAGGTATTCAAAAAGTGCAGACATCAAAAAACTGTTTTCTGTAGCTTTTTAGTCTTGAATTGGGCATTACTGAGGGGAAAAAAATTTCTCATTCTATATTTTTTTCTGTGGACATTAGCTGTCCTGAGGTCTTATTTAGTAGCTGTCAACCTTAACTGAAACAGGTGGCAAATATGGGATAAGTCAAGTGTAATGTAATAAATAATAATCTCAACTGTAAATCAGTCTCTCCCTTCTTCCCCATCATACAAAATATCACCCCTTGTAAGAGAAGTATGAAACTAAAAATAATTAATTAAAAAGTAAAACATCTTCTTTAACTTGTTATTATAGATGGAAGAGCACTAACATTTCAAAACAAATGAGCTACTACCTAGAATGCACATTGAGCCAACTGTTTTTTATAATATTGACTTTAAATACACTTTCAAATGAGATATTCTGAAGTAGTCATATTTTTGTCTTTTCACAAGCAGAATAAATATAACTTCAACTGCTTGGTTTGGGCTTGGACAGCTGTCTGTATTTTAGAACTCATGGTAATGAGAGAAGGCTTTTGTAAACTTACAAAAGAGTGATCTATCTAGCCAGTAGCTGACTGAGACACAAACAGATCTGTGTCCTGTTCTGGGCTTTTCTACCCCTCTTCCCACCCCAATTCATATCACGAAGGGAGTCTGCATGTCAGATTTGATTGTAATAGGACATTGGTGAATAACGATGTTGGCTAAATTGTATTTATGTGGCTAAGATGTTGGCTGACCGAGGCAAGTAAAATAGTGGAGAATGTCAAAATAGCGACGGTTCAAGAGGCACACGTTGTGCTTGTGTGATATGACTGAAGGTTATTACAATTTGAAATACAAACTGCTGAATGAATTGGGAAGCAAGATGGAATTGCAAGACCACTAAATTAAAGGGAGAAACATGGTGACCCAGCTTGCTTCAGAGGTGGTGTGTGATAACTTAACACCACAAAGGTGGAGGTGATACTTGATGGAGCTGGGACTCCTTTGCAGTGACATCACTTTCTAGATCACTTAATGCTAACTGAGGAGCAGCGTGCCTGTGTCCCAAAGATGTAACTTGCTGTGTCTGCACTTCATGTTTGAGAACTTAGTTGACAGAATTGGGATTGTTGTAAAGGAATGTACTACTTCCTCCATAGTTGGTATGTAATAAATGAATTACTTGGGCAAAAAAGTAAATAGCAGTATGCTTCTTTCAGTGGACACTAAACATGTAACCCTCCACTCTTACTGAAAAACTTGTTTTCATTTCGGTCTGTATCCCATTTTCTTTAAAGGAGAAAAAAAAATTCATGGTAAAGTTAACAACAAAAGAAAAAAGATTTAATATTTAACAAAGTTCATTTACTTTCTACAGTACACCATATAAAATAGTTCCAAAAGTGTTTTGGAACTGGGCACATGTTCTGGTGAAATATTTTTGTTGTTGTTCTTGGCATTTACTCTCAAATGTTTAGTTTTATAGTTTAATTTGAAACAAAACGAGCATGAAGTCAGTGTAGACAGTCTTCTGTAAGTTGGTAGTAAAGTCCTTAAACCAGCTTAACTACACTGCTGCTGTAGGATCTCAAATACAACATTCTTCCTTAAGATCCCTTTTCAGAAGGGTTCTACCTATGCAGTTGCCACATTAATTTAAATAGTAGTGTATAATCAAAATGAGTAATAGGCAGACTCTTAAATTTGATTTTTCTGGCCTCTGGGATTGGTGTTCAGTTTAAATAAGCAAAAAACCCCTAACTCTCATATTTTGATGAATGATACTTGATGAATGATATTTTAGGAGGCTACATGGTTTTAAAGTTAAGCACAGTATAAGCTGTCAGACATTTATCGTTTGATTTCCAAATACTTATGGAAATGTTTTACAATGTCTAGCTGTTTACAGTAGAAAGAAGTATGTGACATACTAACCGGTGGAAGTTGGTATTAGATTCTGAAAATCAGGCTGAGATTTAAAGCATAGTGGTTTAGTGTTGGATACTGGGGTTGTTGCAGAAACGTGAAATGCAGAACTGAGTTTTTAATTATTGCTTAAATTTCTTCACAGAATTTCTTGTTCCTCTGCTTACACAGCTTCTAGGGAAATGCTAATGCTTTGGTGGTTTTGGTATGTTTTGGGTGGTTTTTTTGTTGAGTGGGGTTTTTTTGTGTTTTTTTTTTTTGCCTTGATTAGTGTTTTGAAGAAGACATTGGATTTTAATTTTACTTTCCAAAGTATTTTTGATCTATCTGGTTATCCTTTTCACATATTGCTTTCACTACCCCCTGTCCCCAGTGAAGCAACATGCAGTAATTTACACTTGCCTCTTATTTTGTTTCTTTAGGTGGATGGATGATGGCCTAGTGAATGATATTACTCCTAAACTGATAGGCGACAGGCCTAATACTTACATATATACAAAAGCCTTAGCCGAATATGTAGTACAACAAGAAGGTGCAAAATTAAACACAGCCATTATAAGGCCATCTATTGTTGGTGCTAGCTGGAAGGAACCTTTTCCTGTAAGTCACTGAGTTTTCACCTGACCGTTTTGTCTGTAAACCGTAGTACATCCCGACAGCCTGTTTATCTAGTGACCTTCGTAGAGGAAAATCTTTTAGACTATGGAGTTGTGGCTTGGTTGCTTCTGGATAACAACTCTGATACAAAATCTGTCAAATATGGTATTATGTGTGAAATTTAGGGGTAAATTACTTCTAATCCTAGAACAATACACTTCTATCGCAATGGGAGATACTATTTCACACATGAAATAAATTGTCAGCTTTTTAGTTCATGATTCTATGTATCTTCATCTGGTTTTCCTTCTTCAAGATGCTTTGCTATGTCAGTAGCTGCAAAGGGTGACTAAGAAAACTGGGGACTGTGGGACATAAAGATGTTTGGGCTCCACTTCCTTTAGTCAAACCCTGTAAGCTTTGCAGGGGATGGCATAAGTTCTTGTGTTGTATGCTATATTGTTATATAGCATATATGCTATATGCTTCCTCCTGTATGGGAGATGGTATTGGAATAGCTTGTGCAGTTCAAGATTGTCTCTCAAGCCCTTAAAATCCATATAATTGACTTTGCCTACTTTTTTGAATATGTACAATGTACATGTCAAACCATTAAGTATATAGTGTCTAAATACTGTCATTAAAGTTGAGCAAGAATGGCTTCTGTTTGAAAAATGAAAAAACTAATAATCGATTCCAAAACTGCTTATCTGTCTTCTATGAGTTGTTAGATGGTAGTCTAAAAACACTTGTAAACATGAATACTTTCAACATAAATGTATTTATACAGACAATACTCTGCAGTTTATTCACTAAGAAATAAACAAGCTAGCATCTCACTTTGAAGGACCAGTGAATCTTGTCTGAGTTATAGCAACTTGTTACATCACGAGATTTTGCTATGGAAGAACTTCATTTAGAGACATGGAAATTAGTATTTTTCTCCTCTTTATTCTCTTTTCCCTTTGCCCCTTACACTTGTAGAAACTTCTCAGATTTTTACTTGAAACTGCCAACTTCGGTATACTCTAACCAAATCCTTTCCCTCCCCCCTGTTCATGATAGGGATGGATCGATAACTTCAATGGACCTAGTGGTGTCTTCATTGCTGTAAGTAATGAATATACTTAAATTTTTTTCCTCCTTTTGGAAGGTGACAAAGGTTCGTGTGTTTTACTGGTGGGTCTTCTGTCTCTTTTTTGTTGGTTTTTTTTTTTAAGGCAGGAAAAGGAATTCTTCGAACAATGAGAGCTTCCAACGATGCAGTAGCAGACCTTGTTCCAGTAGATGTTGTTATCAATATGGCACTGGCTGCAGCCTGGTATTCTGGAGTTAATAGGTATAACAGGTGACAATAGAGAGTACTAAGTATTTTGAACTTGTATTGTATATTTTAATAAATCAGTCTTCTATTGAACTTCTAATCGGTGTCCTGCTATTTCCCCAGGACAAAGGAATCTAAGGTTCTAACAGCATTAGTCCCTCAAAGTGTAACTTCCTTATGCCAAAGAGAAAGACATCACCTACTGATACTGTTGCACAAGCTATGCCTGAAAATTTCTTCCTGGGTCTTGTTGTAATCAATACAATTTACGGTAACATAGGTGATGCCTTCTCTGAAAGAAAAGAAATGTAATGATTAAAGAATGAGAAAAATACTGGAAGATGTTAAATTTTTTGCTTTCTACATCATGAGACTGATGCTTTTCTGCTTTATGTAAATGATGCTGTTGAGGGAAAGGATAACTCTGGATATGTTTTTTTTGTCTGTGTTTTTAAAAGGTTGTTTGTCTTCTAACTTGCTCTTTTGTCTTTTTTCCCCCCAGACCAAGAAATGTCATGGTATATAACTGTACAACAGGTGGCACCAATCCTTTCCACTGGGGTGAAGTTGGTATGCCATATTTCTTTTTTTCATAAGCTTTAATAGAAAAATAAGGTCAAATAAAAAAAGGACATGCTATAATCACTAGGTCATACTGTATTTTTATTGTTGAAACTATTGATAGCCATACCTCTCAATTTTGCAGTGTATTGTGCTTTTTCATTATCTTCCCCTTGCAGCAGTATCACTGTATCATTTTGTTCTTGGGTTTTTTGTATTCCATTATAACTTAAACTATGGAAGAACTGATTTTTCTGTTTGCTGCCATGACCTCATCTGCAGAGTGTGGGTAGTGTGCAGCAAAAAGCATTGCTCAGAGGAGCAGTAGTGATGTTGGGTTTAATGCCAACCTTACTAAATACATATGGATGAACAGCCCACAATTAGATGTTTTGTACATCTGCATAATTGAAAGGTATGGTAATAGTTTTGCACTTGTGTAGCTCTTTGTTGTGTTTGGCTTAAGTTAATTGTTGGTTGAGGTGGCTTTTTTAATCTTCAGATAGCTACATGAGACTTCAACTATTGATGTGCAAGGAAAAGTAATCTTTAAGAATATATGGCCACCTATTTTCAACTCTTAGATATCCTGCCTAGAAAGTAACTCACATGCCAAAAGCTTTGTAATAGTTTTTGTTATAAATAACAATACAAGCTGGCTGGCATGGTAAAGCTGTTAATTAGCTTTCAATTTTTTAGAAATAGAGTTCTTAAGCTCAGATTATTTTCTTTCTTTCAGTTAACTTCAGTACTTAAATCTATTTTATTTCTTTTTACTACTTTCTTCATGCTTTTTACTTGCTTTTGCTCATTTTATGTGTATCTGTTTTTATAAACCTTGTTGCTTCAGCCAAACTTGGAAAATTGCTGACTTCATTTATATCCCAATTTGAATCAGGGTATTTAAACACCGTTTATAAACAACAGTATAAAGTTATGAGAGATGATTAAAAAGAGAAATTAATTTCAATATAGCTTTTTAAGACACTGATCCTGCATATCTGTCGTGTACAGAATTTTCAGGTGTCAGAAGGAGTTTCACATGGAGTCCCATCCTAATCGCTTAATGCTTAAATATGGATAGGTTGTTTAAAAATGTCATTTGAGATGCACTTCAGATGCTTGCAAAGTCCTCAATCTGTTCTTAAATTATGCTTCACACAAGAGATCAGAATAGCCTTCTTCATGAAATATAGATGACTATTTAAATATAGCTTTACATGCTATATAAACTGAAATTGCTGTGAGTTTTTGAAACCAACAACTTCTAAGGTAGGAAAGAGGAACAGAAAGAGAGAAGCTACAATAAAATATGATACTGAAGATGAAGGCGTAAAAGGCTGCTTGGTTATAATAAGAAGCAGTTCAACTGTATTTTAGGTTAAAAGCTTATGACTCTTAGTTTCTGTGGATTGTAGAAGAGGTAGGGTGGTTATTTAAATAACATGCTGACGTAAGTATTGTACACTGTAATGTACTTTGAAAACCATTCAATTTTACATGGTTATTATCAAAGCTGTTATGCAACTTTTCTTTCTCAGAATACCATGTAATTTCTACTTTCAAGAGGAATCCTCTCGAACAGGCCTTCAGACGGCCCAATGTAAATCTAACTTCCAATCACCTTTTATATCATTACTGGATTGCTGTAAGCCATAAGGCCCCAGCATTCCTGTATGATATCTACCTCAGGATTACTGGAAGAAGGCCAAGGTAATGGTGACTAGCTCTGTCTTGTCTGTTCCTCTGACTTTTAAACAAACCTGTGCTTACACTATGATGTATATTGATTATTTTAAAAATTTTTTTCTTCCACTGAATGTGTTGTGACTAAAACTCAGCCTTTTTTTTTCCTGAGAACAGGTCCTTGAATTCAAAGTGACTCTGAACTTTCTAGCAAAAATGAGGATGTTTTTGTTGGATAGTTTGGGGGTTTGAGTAGTCAAGGTAAACAGAATTACAAGATCTAGCAAGTGATGTTCGTGCTTGAATAATAAATATTCAAAATATGTTGATCCTTATTTTTTCCTACAGGACACCACATTAAATTGCATTTCAAGAAAAATATTTTTAAAGGTGCAGTAAGGCACCCTAACCTTAGTTTTCAGTCCAACCCCCTCTTGTATCAATGTTGGATTGCTGTCAGCCATAGAGTGCCTGCATTTTTGTACGATCTTTTGCTCAGATTGACAGGTCGTAAACCATGGTAAGAAGGACAGGGCTAAAAATATCTTACTGGTAAGGTGGTGGAGTTCTGTGAAGAAGATGTGGCATTGGGCCCTATCTAGATTTACTAACTATAAGCAATAACAATCCATTGGCTGTGTTTTGAAGAGATTAACGACTGGCTCAACAATGCTGTCCAAGATGCGTCTTGGGTCAGAATTCTAGTCAGTCATTAAACTCCAGTAAGTAGCTTGCATTAAGATTGTTGTTGCAATTATACACTGATAATGGAAAGGGGTACAGAATTAATAATTGTGGGTTATTCCTGTAGATGATACAACTTGATCTGATATGTTGGTTTGTATCATCTCAAGGTTCCATTCAGTGTATAATATTTACATTAGTATCTGGCTAACTTCTTAAGTGGTGAAAATGGCATAGCTCTGCTAAATGGGCTAAACTAAATTATGTAGAAGGAATATAAGATGTCACTTCAATTTGTTTCAGATTTACCAAGCCATATGATCTTAACTCATTGTGTTTGTTGTGTTTTCAAAAGTATTTGTCTTCAGACTATAAAATCTCCACTGTGGTGACAGTGTATTAACACAAGTGAGTATTCATTCATTATCCTGTAGTCTAGGTCTGTCTTACTAGGAGGGCAAAAGGTCTGTAACAGACTTGGCACTGGATCAGTAAAAGGAAGCCATGTAAGTGGTTTGTAGGAGAAATCTTCTAAACTGCCTTGGGTTCTGTTGTTCCAAGTCTACTCAACAGTGTAATACTCAGAGCAACAGTAGTGGCAGGAGGCTGTGCCTGTATAGTAATCTTCCCACATTAAAAAGATGTGAGCTCTTCACATGAAAAGAAAGTTATTGAACATACAAGTTCCTAGCTTTTAGGTTCTTTTGCAATTTTAAGTTATTCTTAATAAATATTGATAGAAATTCCCTGACAAATGTGAAGAGTTCATCACTCCTAAAAATAGTTATACTATAAATGCCAACCTACTGTCTTTCAAATGGTTAGGAAGTAATGCTGCCAGAATCTTGTAAGTCTTTAAAAGGCGTCTGGTCTTTTAAGTATTTGACCAGTGGGAGTAAAACAAGGCTGTGAATAATCATTTTATTTAGAACATTCTTAGCAGTTTTATATTAAACACTGGGAATGTTGAATCCTTGGTTTTGCTTTTCCTGGAATGCTTACTTGATGTCCAAATATAGCATTTAGAACTTTAATTAGTACTAGTACAATTGGTGACATTAAATATGTGTTTTCTAGCCTGTGAAGTACTACCAATATGAGTATTCCTACTTAGTTTAATAAAACAGTGGGTAGGTGAGTTTCCTATCATGCACAAGATTTCCAGTTTGGAGGAAACATGGGGGATTCAACTAAAACAATTGTTCTGTCACTAAGGTTACTCAAATGCACTTGAAAGAAAAGCTTTTGAGTTTGACACGCAGCCCACTTACAGGAATATAGCTTTCATTATATAGTGCTCTTCTCTTTTTTCTTTTTTTTTTTTTTTTTAGCATTTAAAAAATGGGAGCCTGCAGTAAAAGCAGTAGAAGGAAATAAATACATAGATGCAAGCAAGACATGCAGTGTTAAATCCTAATGGGCTTCATGTGTTGCTTAATAATAGAAGAAATTTGGGACAGATCTTTACTCTTCCACTTTTTTCTAGTCTTCTGGCTCAAAGTACTTTGAAAGCTGCTTTAACTGATGGGCTGGAGACAGTCATGGTATAGTGATGTACTACTGTTGCTGTGGTTGTTCTGTCCAGTTGACAGAATGGTTTTAATTACCAGGTAGCATGCACTAGGAAACTTGTAAAGCCTTCGAAACATTACTGGAGATTCTTAAACTCAATATAATGCTGTTCTGAGTGAAGAAGGGCTGTCTTAATCTGAAATGTGATATTTTCCACCACGATTTAGCAGAAAGACTTGAGCAGTATAGTAAAAACACAGTAAAATCAGCACAAGAAAATTCAAATACTGTGCTAATTTGACTTCACATGGTCAATAGCCTGCCTTCTGTGCTGAGTCTGAATTCACTTCTGAGGTCTTTATTGTGTGCAAAGTAGGGAAAACTAAGCAATGGAGTTACTATGTAGGTTTAACTGCACTGTTGTCATACCATCAGGATATTGTACTGCAACTGAATGAGAAATTTTTAACAAGTCAAAGAAATAGATCAGGCCTGTGACCCTTCAGAACTAAAGGATTATGCTCATAATAATAATGAAAAAGTCTTCCTCTTCAGGGTTTTTTGAAAATTTATCTGTTGAAGTCTTTCTGCAATATGAAGTCATTCTTCTGGGTGTCACTTGTGGAAGCAATGTTTTTAGTGAGATGGAAATGTTTTTGCTGTTTTTGTGTCTAGTTGAAGGTTCTTGAATTTAACAATTTTCTCATAATACTAACAGTGAAGGGAAGGAAGAAATAATGCATATAATACTTTTTCCAAATTTTATAGAAAGAACATGCACAATAAAGATTGGCATAATGAAGATTTAATACTTTATACTAAATACTTAAGACTATTACAGCATTGTGCAATTATATAAATAGTGGTGATAATCCTTAGCGTCCAAGTTTAAGGATGGTATTGTCAGTAGCTTACCATATATACTTAGTTGTGAGCAAAGCTTATTAGTTGTGTAATTAACTTTAATATAAGGCATAGTTCTCTCTTCTAGCTTTGCATAGGGCTTAGCACAACAGAACCATATATTATTTAAAAACAATTCAGTGTATTTGAAATCTTAAAGCCTTTAAAAATACACACCTGGCAGATCTTTCCAATTACTCTGGAAGAACAGAATGTGGCATGAAATATTTAAAGTTGTAATTCAGGGATTTCTCCAGCAACTCATTTTCTGTTACTGCTTAGAAAGTTAAAAGGAAAGCGTGGTTGATGTATGTAGGGAGGTGTAAAGGATATAATTTCGTATCTTATCACTTCAATTTAAAGCTTAAAACTTAACATGAAGCACCTTTCACATAGTTACTGTCTTACAAACCAGAATTGAGTAAAGAGTACACTTTCATTGAACAGCTTAATATGGTTTTTCCTCTTGAAAGCACTTTTAAGTTGCGCATTTAAAGGAACCACAGAGCTGCTGGAAAGATTGGAGTTCTAGTAGTATGTCTTGCACTTCAAAATTTAGAGCCAAATGAAAATCTGAACAAAGACAAATCTGAAAGCTTGTTTTTTAGGTATTTTAGAGGAATATTTAAAAAAAAAACAACAACTCTTTTTAATGCTTATACAGAGACTTGCAGATTGGCAGCCTGTAGGTACAGTGAAGGATCAGGCTGTATTTAGCATCAGAACTGTTTTTAGCCTGGAGACAATAGGTTGCATGCAAGACTTCTTCAAAATGCAGTCATAGCCTTAAGCCAGGTTGCTTTCAATTGTCTGATATAGAAACATGCCCACCTAACTTATGGATAATTGAGTTAACTATTGCCTAAAACTTTTAATTCCTGTGATGTGCTTCTCAAAGTGGTGTAATGTATTTTGTGTTAATGGCAGTAAGGACTGCCTAGTAGAGGCAAAATTCTACCTAGTTTCTAGGTGAACGTCTTGCATGCTGTCACACTGACTTGCTGACTGCTGCTAATATTCAGTTCTTTATGATGATCAGCAGGGGTGACATTTTCTGTCTTCAGCTTATGAAGAAGGTGTGATGTAATGCTTGATATTTTACTGACTGGTTATATATGGCTTTGATATTTACAACTTTTATCCAATGGCTATCTCTGGAACAACCTGTGAAGTGTATATTTCAAAACTTTGGGTTGAGAGATAAAGCTCCATTATGTGTATTCATGCTCTTTTTTTAGTCGTGTGTATATTCCCATTTGCAGGAGGAATATGGTGCCATTGAAATTATAAAACTTAGTCTGCCAGAGCTGCACAAGTGCCCGCTAAATAACATTCATTGCTGACATCTCTGAATAAGAGGCTGTCACCATACTTCTTTTTCTTAAAAAAAAAAAAAAGTGTAGTTTCATGTTGATTTAGTGCAAACTAACAAGCTGTCACCAAGAAAATTGGTCCTTTTCTGTCAATTTTGTAATTGATCTAGCAGCTGAGGGAGTATGGAGACACTTGATTCTTTCAGCTGATATATCAAGAAACTAACCCTACAAAGAAAAAAAAATATTTTTCCACTGATGAATTGAATCAGCTGATTCTGTGGCCAGTCACTAAATTCAATTTGAGTTGGAGGGAGGGAAAAAATCTGCAGCTGAGGTAGAATAACTCTTTTTAGCCACTTGACTTTTTAAATTTTTTTTTAATCAGCTTAGCTATGCTCTAAAACCATATCCATAGGCAGAGACAGCAAGCTTCCCAGCAGAGGTTATTCTTTATGTTAGTTTAAATTCAGTTTAAGTTTTGTTTACAGAAAAGAGTGAAAACCAGTGTCAGTGGCCAGTAACAAGCTCAAAATCCACACCTGTCTAATCAGATACTTATTTGCACCATCTAGTATTTTGCAGGGGCACAAATTTTCTTAAACTGTAGCTGTCTAAGTACTCTAACTAAAACTCCGCTGCTCTTCCAGCTTAGCATGAGAACAGAAATTGGGGAGGCACAAAAGGCAAGTCAACTGAGTTAAATAATCTTTAGACTGTCAGTGGACAGACTTCTGCAAAAAGTCTTCAGCACTTAGCCACCATGTCCTGTTTGGCACTATTTTTCTCCAGGCCATTTTGATGTGAGGTCTTTTCGGCTTATCTGATCAATGAGATCTTTGCTTTCCAAGTTTTGAGTTGTTTTCTGAATTTTTTTGTCTTAACTAATATGCTTTTTTTATGTTCAGTCTTGTTAGCACAGGATATCTTTTGGATGCGCAATCTGTATTCCTAATTATTTTTGAATCAGAGGAACTCTGGTTCAACTCAGCTCCCATTGTTGCCACCTTGCCCAACTGGTGAAATTGTAAACAGGTGTTTGAAAGCATCTAGAAATGTCTACTAATGAGATTTGCTGGTGGTCTCAGATTTGTATTCAAATTTTAATTACTCTGTAGATAGAGTCCTATGGGGTTTAAGGAAAAATATTTGTGCTTTTTGTGCTTTAGAGATATTCTTTTTCAGTGGTCTCTGCAATTTGTATTACTCCATTTCATGAGAAGAAAAAGAGGCAATTTTGATATTCCCTTAGATACTGAGATGCCAGCCATTAGTGACAGTAGGGGACCCTAATGTGATGCAAAATACTTTCTTTAGAAGAGTTTCTGGGACAATGTGCTATATCCCTTCTACAAGTATGAATGCATCAAGGCAGCTTTCAGAGCAAAATCAGTGGGTTTTATTGCCTTTATGAACTTTATTGATCAAAACTTACCAATAGAAAGCCATTTCCTGTTAATGCTGGGTTGTTCTGCTTTCTCTGCCTCCCCTCCCACCTTCTCACTCTGTGCTTAAAATGATCAGTGTGTCCTGCTATAAGGATCAAATTGGAAGCAGTTCTGTGAGATGGAAATACCTTGAGCACCCAAAGCATGAATTTAATAGCATTAGGTTATGTGTACTAGTTAGTACTTACTAAAAGTGATTGACCATCTCGAGCACTGTAACACTTGAAACAATGTTCTTGTCATAAATGTGAGAACTTTCCATCTGAGAGACTGGATGACTCACATTTTTTAGGTCCACTTCAGATAGCCTGATCAAAAAGAAACTTGCCCAATTGATCCTTATAACAACTTCTCTGTACTCCAAGTGATGGTTTTGTAGAGTTGTTTCCTTTGCATAATAAGCAATGATGGAAGGTATTTCTGCATATTTTGAAGTAGCATAGAACTGATCACCTAACTAGCAGGATCTGCTATGATCTGTCTGTGCCTTTATATTTTCCTGCCCTTTGCTGCAGAAGCAGTAGGGTTAAGGGGCTAAGCCATATTTCTGGTGGTATTAAACCTTGATCTTTTAGTGACCGTAAGAAACTAATTTTGTTTTGTTACAGAGACCTGGTCCTGCACAGTGTGCAGGAAGATCAGGGAAAGTTACTCCCTTGCTTAAAGTTGTCACGTGCATATGTTCTGCACTGTGCAATTTGACTCTTTCATCAAGTCAAATTGTTCAGTACAGCTAGATAGTCCAGTATGCTGAAGTGAAGAGTGTTCTATGTCTGTGTCCTAAACTAAGAGTTAGCAACAGAAGACATATTACCATCTCTTCTTTTTAGGGAAGAATCTTACCATTGCAGTGGGAAATAGGATTAGGAGAAAAGGACTGTCCTATAATTTCTGATTCTATATAAAGATTGGGCAACCAAAGTTCACTTCAATAATATGCAGAAATATCTTATTGATAAATATAATATGCTTTGGGTACAGAGCAAGACGAGATATGTTAACATGGGGGTGTGGGGTTGGAGGGTAAAAAATTTATAATCTTACTGTCTGTTTTATTTGTTTGAACTAATCTTTACCACTATAACCTGTACATTCCATGCCTTGGACTGTAGGATGATGAAAACAATAACACGTCTTCATAAGGCCTTGATGTTAATAGAATACTTTACAAGCAATTCGTGGATCTGGAATACTGAAAATATGACTATGCTAATGAACCAGCTAAGCCCTGAAGACAAAAAGGCAAGTAGCTGTGTGATGTGGGCATGGAGACTGAAAGTGAAATACAAGCTCATTTAAGACTGACTAAGGACATAAGCTGGTAATGCTGCTTACTGTAATGTGGAGCTAACCCTAGTACTAACTCAGTGCTGGAAATTCCTGTCACATTCTTTCAGTTGTGCCAGGGCTGTGTTATAAGTGTGATCAGAGATGAGGAAGGGCAGGGCCCCCTTGAAGGAGTCCTGATTATAAAAGATCACTGTCTTTGGAGTGGCCTGATCACGTGATCTGGTGTTACCCATATATCAACCAAGTGGCCAAGCTGTTACGGTTTTACCTACATCATGAATAAAACAAGGCTTTACTTGACCATTGTCTCTTTCCTGACGAACAGGAGGGACTTTTTTTTGCTTGTTTTTAAACTAATAATAACTTTTATATACCCTTTTCATGCTTTGGCCAGAGTGCCACGTGTATTCAAGAAATATAAGTGTAAATTCTCTCGCTTCTTTCTGAAGTACACTCTTGCTGTTTGACTAAAACTGCCCCATACAGGGGGGAAAGTGTAACAAGCAGGATGACAGAAAAGTCCTGAAGGTTGTTGAGGAAGAATGAAAACTGAGTGCAGGGTCTCAGTAAGAGTGAATGAAAAGAGCTCAAAGGAAAAATCTTTGTCTTCCCACTGTGTGTTGTTAACCATCTATGTGAGTTTCTATTTTTGTGCTATGTTTACCAGTCTCAAACTAACAGAAACACCTGTGTGGTGGTTTGACCCTGGCTGGATACCAGGTGCCCACCAAAGCTGCTCTATCACTCCCCTCCTCAGCTGGAGAGGGGAGAGAAAATATAACAGAAGGCTCGTGGGTTGAGATAAGGACAGGGAGAGATCACTCACCAGTTACTGTCATGGGCAAAACAGACTTGACTTGGGGAAAATTAGTTTAATTTATTACCAATCAAATCAAACTAGGATAATGAGAAATAAAACCAAATCTTAAAACACCTTCCCTCCACCCCTTCCTTCTTCCTGGGCTTAAATTTACTCCTCATTTTCTCTACCTCCTCCCCTCGAGCGGCACAGGGGGAATGGGAGTTGAGGACTGTTCATCACATGTTGTCTCTGCCACTCCGTCCTCTTCAGGGGCAGGACTCCTCACACTCTTCCCCTGCTCCAGCATGGGGTGCCTTCCACAGGAGACAGTCCTTTATGAACTTCTCCAATGTGGGTCCTTCCCACAGGCTGCAGTTCTTCACAAACTGCTCGAGCGTGGGTCCCTTCCCCGGGCTGCAGTCCTTCAGGCACAGCCTGCTCCAACGTGGGTCCCCTGCGGGGTCACAAGTTCTGCCAGAAAACCTGCTCCAGCCTGGGCTCCTCTCTCCACGGGGCCGCAGGTCCTGCCAGGAGCCTGCTCCAGCGCGGGCTTCCCACGGGGTCACAGCCTCCTTCGGGCATCCCCCTGCTCCGGTGTGGGGTCCTCCCCGGGCTGCAGGTGGAGATCTGCTCCACCGTGGACCTCCCTGGGCTGCAGGGGAACAGCCTGCCTCACCGTGGTCTTCCACATGGGCTGCAGGGGAATCTCTGCTCCGGCGCTGGAGCACCTCCTCCCCCTCCTTCTGCACTGACCTGGGGGTCTGCAGGGTTGTTTCTCTCATGTGTTCTCACTCCTTTCTCCAGCTGCAGCTGCAGTTTTCCCCCTTCTTAAATCTGTTCTCCCAGAGACACTACCACTGTCGCTGATGGGCTCGGCCTTGGCCAGTGGCAGGTCTGTTTTGGAGCCGGCTGGCATTGGCTCTGTCGGACATGGGGGAAGCTTCTAGCAGCTTCTCACAGAAGCCACCCCTGTAGCACCCCTGCTACCAAAACCTTGTCATGCAAACTCAAAACAACCTCGATGTGGCTAGCTGGTTTTCCCTGGTGACTAGTACTGACTGAAGCTACCTTCCTTTCCTGCACATGTGCCTGTGCTGCCAGATTCCGACCTCCCTGTGCCTCATATGCCTGGGAATCTTAATCGGATTCATTCCAAGTTACTCAAAAATATGCTTGTGCAATAGCGCAGCTGTAATGGAATGGACTTGTTCTCCACACCAGTATGTCTCATAGGAAGATACATGTATGTGTTAAAATAAAGAAGTATTGCAACTGAGATAAATTGCTGTGCGCCCCCCCCCCCCCCCCAACTGAGTTTAAACTTCCTTTCTACTATGGTTTTGTTGGTTAATATTCAGCGGGATAAAAATCACCAGTTACAGTTTCAAAAACACAAATTCCCTTACGCATTTGGAACAGTGTTGTCATCTTTAAGATGTTTTTCCTATTCAAATATTTTCCAGAATCTTGTTCTATAGTTAAGTTGAAGAAAAGCTGCCAAACTTCTAAATAAACTGTCTAAAAATAAGAAGTAGAATAGCTTTTAGTGATTCTTATGTGGAGAGGATTTCCACCCCTTCCCGCCATCTCACCTCCACCCAGCAACTTGAATTCAGAAAAAGTTTAAAAAACAAACCCAAAATAATCCCAGAGCTTTGGACTGTTAGTATTTTCAAATAGCTGTTTTCGATAAGATGTGCATACAGCAGTAAAGAACTAGTTGGAATAATGGTTGAAACTGTACTTTCTTTACTTTTACATTCTTGCTGTGATGATATATTAAGGAAAATAATGTTTAATTGAGACCTTCTGATAACTTACTAGAAGGCTGTTTGGCATGTATGTGTCTTATGTCATGACTGCTGACCTTAAACTTGCAAACAATGCTAAATTACAGTGTGAGGGATTGTCTTCAGAACTGTAATGCATTTATTTTTCATCATACCTTATAACACACCTGCCATGCTGTTAAGCAGCTTATTTGGAAACATGGACTTGGGGATTTAGCATAAGTATAACAACTTTTAAAGCCGAATACAGTTTCACTGCACAAAACTGTTTACTCGTTTCTTGTTCCTGTAATGATCTTACTTATTCTTTTACCTGCAACAAAATTGGCAGAGCTGAAAGCCTGCTAGGAAAATCTTGGTATTTATTTGCACTTAAACAGCTGTTGTTGTAGAATCTTGAGATGAAGAAATCAATACATCAGTGAAAAACTTTAGTTGTGAATTTACTGTAGTAACTTCCTCTCCTGAGGAAGATACTCATGTGGTTCTTTTTAAAATATAGCTGTCCAACTATAAGCACAGCTAAAAGAATTCTGCATTTATGCAACAGTGAACTAGGCACAGAGCAGTGTTCATTCTACAGCATATTAGAATTATTTTGTTGCTTAAAAGGAAACAACATAATAGAAAATAGTTATTTCTAGAGAATTCCTTACAGACAAATGAAATGGGAAAGCAGTGCACTTGGAAGTGGAGGGAAGAATACTACTGCTGAGGAGGAAAAATAAGGCATGAAATGGTTGAGATTTGGAAGAGGTGGTTTAAGAAGCTGGTAGTTGAGTCAGAAATGGGATCTAAGTCTGGATTGTTCTTATGATTAAGAACAAGATAACTTTTTTACATCAAAGACAAATTGGAATTATCTGGTATAAAGGCATTTATTCTTTTCCTTTAAGTTATTCTGTATAGCAGGTGAATTTTTAGGTAACTAACAGTGAAAGCTTTCATTTTATGCAGACATTTAATTTTGATGTTCGACAACTACATTGGGCAGAATACATGGAAAATTACTGCATGGGAACGAAGAAATATGTGCTGAATGAAGAAATGTCTGGCCTCCCTGCAGCTAGGAAACACTTGAATAAGTAAGTATAAACTTTCATTTTCCTCTGTTTATATTTTCTGTGTTTTCCTGCCCTTGTCAAGTTTTGCTTTTCCATATTATGACTCAATTGTTCTTTATAGCACCTGTTTAGGTCCTCCAAAATTCTTCTATTCCAGTTCAGTGGTCTGAAGCATTTTCTGAAGAAGTCAGCTGTCATCTTTCTTGTTCCATTTGTTGCTCCTGAGTTGCTCTCAGTACTAATAGTTACAGTATTGGTCTGGGGTTATGGTTGTAGCTCTGATCACTAGTGTATACTGTAATCCAGGTTTCTGATTTTACCCAAGTGTCTTTTGGAAGGTAAACAGGTACACAGTAACACAAGGTCAGAATGGCTTGTTCAGTTAAGGAGTTTTAATAGAACAATAGTTGTTTCTTCTGGGAATGTGATCTTTTGAAGCAGGTGAGTAAACAGGCATGGACTCTCCACCTCAGAGCAGGAAACTTTGATGTTGGTGCTTTAAGATGACTTCTCTTAGCCTTTTATCTGTGGCTTAACTCCTCCAGTTCGAATGCATTGTTACTGTCCAGAATTTTACTGGCACAGTTGCCCTTGTTTTGTTCTTGGCTGATTCATAAAGACAGTTGCAGACTTTTTGATTTGTCTTTTTAAAGAGTGAAATAAAAGTGATTAATCTTGTTCTGCAGTTCTACTTCACATCAGCTATCCTGATAGCACAAAGAGAAGTGGCGTAGGTCATTACTTGTGTCATTCTTCTAAAGACAAGGATTTGCAGTTGTAGAGTGGATTGGCATGATATGTTACGATCTCAGAGATACTTTTGAAAGATGGTAATCTTTGATAACAGTGAGGATAGCTGAAGAGGTATCCCCTTCAGATTTGTTTGTTTTTTTTTTTAAATCTAGATGCTGTTAAAAATGCACAGGAGTTATCATACAGTTGCCATTCTTTGTGCAAGGGATCGTACCGAGAATAACGTGAGAAACAGTCTTGTATTGGAACAGCATCTGGTTGCCCACAGCTCTCAGTTTTTAAGTGGATTATTTTGCAAGAGGTTCAGATTCTAACATATATTTACTCTGAGCTATTAAGTTGGCCTCTTCTGTTACCATCTAGCTCTTTACTCTAATCTGAACTTGAGTTCACTGCTTCAATATTAAGCAGATGTGGCAGCCTAGGGGACCTGGCTTCTCTAGGAAACTACTGAGTAGAATTTTTCCTCGAATAAAAAAGTGGGCTTTACTTTTGTAATACAAAAATTCAGGCTGTTTTTTCTACAAATAAAGTATGTAGAGGAAGGTCTGGCTATACTAACACCCAGCCTACCTGTAAAACAAGATAAGGGCAGTCAGTATTTCCTTAAAAAGAGGTGTCTTAAAAATACAAATTGTCACGATCTACTGAACCAAAGAGATTACTCTGTTTCTAAGAAATCCCAGCCAATTCTGGTTGCTGTTTGTCTTGAAGCTTCCATCTTTACCTGTGAGAAGACTACTAAAAGTCACAGTTGCTCTAGAAGGACACTTTGTTTCTTCTAATCTTTCCATATAGTTCCCTGAGAAGGAGTAAGTTTAAAATTGCAGTGAAGACTCCAGGCTCTGTGGTTGGAAAATCCTATGATGTTGGGTTTTGGGAGTTTTTTTTTTTGGTCAGTGGCAGTTGGAGTTACTTCTACATATATATGAAGTTATAAATATGTGGAGGGGTGTAGGGGAGTTCATAGTGTTAAATATATCCTTGTTCTTGGGGTGGATGGCAGCCTTCTACAGGTAAGTTACTGTATGTGTGACCTTGGCTTTAAGATGTTTTTATCAAGCAGCTATAAAGCAGAAGTACATGTGGTTAGCTACAGGGCTGGCTCTGTTCCTTAGTTTTCATGTGTTCCGGTTTCCAGCAGTGAACTATGGAAAAGCCTTCTCTGTTTGGTCCTTCACTTAATCAGCTTACTTCCGTTGTTCATGTAATACCACTCACAGTGTATCTTGAGATGAACAGATGAACAAATTAAATTCTACATTACAAGTTAATTTTTAGAGTGCTCTTTTTTCCTGTAAGTCTTGGTACCTTAGCTTTTAATTATTTCTTTTGTTTTCCCTTAGGTTAAGGAATATACGCTATGGCTTCAATACAGTTCTTGTGATCCTGATCTGGCGTATCTTTATTGCAAGATCACAAATGGCAAGAAATATCTGGTACTTTGTGGTTAGTCTGTGTTACAAGTTCCTCTCCTACTTCAGAGCTTCCAGTACTATGAGATACTGAAGAAGAGAATTTAGCATTAGGACATCTATGCATATGGTGGTCTAACTGCACAAAGCCTGTAACATGTAGTCATCTCACATTTTGTAAAAGCATAATTTCATCTTAAATTGGAGTGCAAAATATACGGTATGGTATATGTAATGTTAGTTGTGTATCTTCTGGAAACAGAGAAAATAAAATGGTCAAGTGCCAGGTTGAATTGGCATTAGACAAGCATTTAAGTAACTTTTAACTCTTTGACCTGGGGAAAACATTTTAGACCACTGACCAACATAACTGTGCAATTTGGAACGTGTTTGAAATCTGCCTTAACATGATTTATTTTCTTTTTAAGTTTTACTCCACATTGAGCAAGATAAATATTGACTTAGTAGTTGCTGTAGACCTATTTATTTGAAATTCTTCTAAATTACAAAGGGTTTTGCAAGTTGCAAAAGTGTATAAATGACGGTGGATCTCCTGAAAAAAATTATTTGAGGACTTCAGTAATTTGTCTTTACTTTTTGCCACTTCTTCCCTTCTTCTCAAAGTAGGGATGCAACAATGGTGCCTACTTTGCTTTAAAAGAAAAAAGGAAAAAAACAACAAAACAAAAAAACCCAACCTTCCTTAATTACTGAAAGGCCTTTTGTCTGATCTGGTCTTCAGAATGCACTTAGTGATTCAGTTCTGTGCTCAAAACTGGCTGCATCCAACTTGCATTTATGTCGTCATGAACGATTTGCTTCTCTGAAAGCAGAATTGATCTTATCATTGGGTAGATAAAAGGAAATGTAACCCTGAGGGGGGCAAAAATAAAGTCATTGACTGTCCTCTTTTTTAATGATTTTTATTGGGAACACAGAGCCAACACTGGATTGTTACACTTCTGACTTCAAAAGGTAAATGTATTTGAAAGGAATTTATTATGCTTAGTTGCTATTTATGTTACTGGTAATAGTAGTTGGACAAACTATAGGCTTTCATTAAGAGATATACCTGTTTTTAAATTTTAAGCAATGTTAGCAAATACTTCATGAATTAATAATTTTTAAAATCTGAGCTATGACATTTGATGCATGGACAACACTAATGCGTAAGCACACTTTCGCATCCCTGCCCCAATAAAACTTCTCATTTCACTGGGCAAGCAGAGCAAGATGTACCTTGCTTCAAAATGAAAGTATGTTAACAATTCTTCCATCTATCTTTTAACTTAAATTACTAGGATTAAATCTGAAGAAATCTGGTTGTTCTGCATGTTAGTTTGTTGCAGTAGGGAAACCATTTGTAAAAATAGCAAGGTGTAAGAAAAGAATGAATCCTTGTTTAAGGCAATACATGAAGATCCCTTTAAATTTTGGTTGCACAGAATTCTGTCTGAGAACACTGTAATGCTCCTTTAATTGATGCACTGACCAGCACCGTTGCCCAGTGTTTGTTCATTAAAATCAGTTTATACTGATGAGTTTGTTCTTGAATCTGCTTGGAAAGGCAAATAATGACTTAATTACACAAGAGCTACATTATACTTGCCCTTGATAGTTTTTTGTCCTATTTGAATTGAGTAGGTAAAGAACTTATTTTGCTATTCTTGTGAAAACTCTTACTTTCAAGAGAACACCTTTCATGCAGGTGTATATCTCATTTTGAAAAGATAATGGCTTCCTTGTTGAAGCTAAATATTCTGTAGTAAGTAGTTAAGCTGTAATTCCTTTTTAAAATTACCTGTGTATATATAAAGCTAGTGATGAAAAGCCTAAATGGTCTAGGACCACACCTTGTGTGAGAGACCTCTAACTGGCTGAAAATAAATTATGGCTTCTGTGATTGAAGATGTTACACTTGAACAAATACATTAGGTGTATTCCGTTTTTAGTTGCCTCCCCAAGTATCTTACTGGACCTGAAAGTATGCTTAAGCATTCTTGCATTGTAGACTTTTTTCAGAGGTGCCTACTATCCAGTGACACCCCTTGTCCCATGTTGGCATGTGGCTGAAGTTTGAAAAGACAAATACATCATATTCTGAAAATGATTCTGTGAAGCAATTCACTTATGAATTTTGGTTGTTTATCGTACATGATACTTATAATGTTCATTTGTTTATACTGAGAACTATGAAGCCAATGAACTGATTATCTCTGGTCCAAAACTGCTTAAAAAATATATTCTTTTGAATAAGTAACAAAGAAAAGGATTAGCTTAAACATAAGGGTATTTAACCTCTCTCTTTCAACATTTGCCAATCTAGAAACCCAATTTTTTTTCCTCTTTGGAGACTGTGGTTCTGTGCACTATTGGTATCTTACACAAATTCATCAGTCATCCTATTTAATTGACAATAGATTCAGTGTTGCATTTATTACCTTAGTTTTGTCACTTCCTGTGGTCAGTCTGTGAAATTCTATCTGAAACGACTGGGGTTTTTTCCATATCAGAACCCTGTTCCCTTGCAGTTCTTCATACCAGTGTTTGCACATAACAGATGTTGATCAAAAATATACAGGAACTATATTTTGATACAGTAAGCTAGACTCACTGTACTGACTAGCAAGTTACAGGAGGTATTCCAGTTGGTTAAATAGGAAGAGCAGCCTGAAACAACATGATCACTTAAGTTACTGGTATTTAAATATGGGATGAGGAGAAAAAAATTACATTTTCCTGTAATGTTTTTGTCTGCTGTAGGAACAGATGTTTGGAAACAAATGCTAAATCTGTGAGCTTTTATAAGACATAAACAGAAATATTGGGTGCCTTTGTTTGTAAACCAAAAATAAACAAATCCCTTGAAAGTGGTGTTCCAGTGTTTATTTTTTTTTGCATGTTTCTAGTCTAATTTGTGGAAAATAACTGGATAATGTAAATGCCATCTTAATATACACAAACATGCTCTTTCCTTTGTGAGAAACTTTGAAAATCAAGTTAATGACTAATACTGCATTTAAAAAAAAAAAAACAAAACAAAACAGAAAACCCTTCACAATCACAAAACAAAAAAAAACAACAAACAAAACCCCCACAATCTAAACCTTCATGAGGTGATATCAAAACACATGGTGAGGTATGCTTGGTCATGGTGACTTCCTTGTATGTCAGCTAGTTTTCGCTGTCATTGCCTGTTCCCTTGTCGTACTAGTTTCAAATTTACTTAAATAGATGGGTGCTTTTTCATGTGGTTTAAAAGGATACTGTGGTTTTGCAGTAGCTTTTGGATTAATATTTCAAGGAATTGTAAGTGACTACAGCTACTTGTAGCATCTACATTTTGTGGTGAGGGAGGAGAAGGTAGCATTAAGTTAGTGCATCACCAAAATGCCTTGGTTTTTTGGGTTTTTTTTAACCTTAATTTCTTGGAATCTTCAGATTTCATGGATTCTTCCTCCTTTTATCTAGAGATCATACATCATCTGTCAGCTGTGGTTTGGCGTCTACTAGCTTTAAAGCATAACCTTTCCTTTACTTGACTTTAAGACGTAAACTACCAGAAATAGATGGGGTTTTTTTGGTGTCTTTGATTCAAAATTGAAAGCAAAAAAAAAAAGTTTCAAGATGTTATCCTTTATGTATCTTGTGCTGTTAAACATTTTACCCTTTTTTCATAGTGCAGTATTACATCGTAGGTTGTTCAAAAACAAAGAACAAGTTTATAGAGGTAACTTGGATCTGAGAAGTACCCTGCACGGAGCTGGGAAGTATAACTTTTCATAATATTTTTACATATTTCACAATCTGCTGAGCAGACTTTAAAACAGAAATGAAGAAAAGTCACCAAAGAATGGCTGCTCTGGGGAAATGTAAGTGAATTGCTTTGAACTGTATTCATGCTGTTTGTCAGTCGTCTTGTGCTGAAGTATGTGCAATTTATTTTGTCTAGCCTGGTGACATTCACTGTGTGTTTGTGTAAATCTCTAGAGACTGTAAAATAGTTCCAGTGGAGCTGATATGAATTGTCTGCTCTTATTTTTAATGTGTGCTGTACCATCATAAATTTAGAAGCAAAGCGTGACAGGTCTCACCACTTTAAATTCTAGGTTTTCTTGATCTCTTCTAGAGTATTCTTCAGAGCTTCTTCAGACAACACTCTCCTCCTTTCTGTCTGTAGATGACTGCAAGTTAAAGGTTACTTAACCAAACTGTGAGCTGCTTCTCTGCTGTCTCGAACTAAATTTAACCCTGCATCCACTTTCAAGATATTTATAAATGCTTCCCTCCTTAATGTTATTTTAGTACTTTTCTTCAGTGCAGAGTTGACGTTCACTTTGGCTTTGCCTGCTCTGCAACAAATGTGACTCACTGATAGATAATTAGTAGTGATGCAACTGTCTTTTCTGGAATATGGAACAATGACAGCTTTGAGCAGCTTTTATTCTTGCTATGAGAAGCAGGAGAAACCACGACTAATTGGTGAAAGCAAAAGTTCCAACACATTAACGCACTGAATAAAATTAGAATGCTTAGAGGCATGGGCTCTAGGTAGGGCGAATGGAACTTTTTTTACTCTTGATTCAGTTATATCCATTAACTGCAAGTGTAGTGATTATTACCCAGAAACCTTTCATTTCATTCTAATTGAATTGTTACACCTTTCAGGATGGTAAAATTCTGTAGCCACTATAATTTCTGAAAAAATAGCCTGACATGTAGAAGCAAGGCCTCTTTGGCTTCTTTATGAGCATATGAAAAAACTAAAGTATGAACTTATAGTAGGATTCTCTGAAACGAAAAAATTAAAAGCACCACTTGGTTAAAATTTTCTGGGATGTAGGATGAACATTAAATCTTAAATTGCCCTTGCCTCTTGTGGTGCTAGTTTCCACTACATCATCTGTGTATACCCTATGTCTACGGTAGAAACAGCAATTCAGTCTACCACCAGGAGTGTCAGAAAAGTAGTTCTGGTATTCTTGTTTTAATCAACAAACATCTGATTTACCACTTAAGTGAAAATGTTTCAGTACTTAGCCACTATTAACTTTTATGTATCATGTCAGCCTTAATCCAGATTCAAGACGGCATCATACAGTTGAGTATTTTTATCCTTACGAAACTCAATAGCTCATCCTTTCCTTCATTCCTGATGAAATTTTCCCAGAACTGGATGTCTAGGGACACAAATAGTTACACTTACTGTTACAGGCACCTAACTTGGATGGAATTCAAGAATCTAAAGTTAGGAGGCTCGATTTCCTCTATTACACAGTTTTCTTAGTACGATTCAGAATCATAAGGCAAATGCTTAAAATAAGCAGGGACATCTCAAAAGCAGTCACATTGTGGGGTGAGGAGTTAAAGACCTGTGGAAATGAAATGGTTAAATTATGGGAGCAGGCTGAATATTGTTAATATTTGTACTTAAGTTAGTATGTATGTGGAATTGAGGCTGTATTGACACTGTATTGTGCCGTGTGGCTCATGATCTGCATTGTAGATAAAGCTTGTGGTCCAAACAAATCATACAAGTTGACTCTAAGCGAACAAGTCTGTCATCCAGCACTTCTCGTTTAATGTACTCTCCTAATACAGTGCTTATTCAACTTGAAGATTCAGATTCAATTTGGAGAGCAAACTAGAGATGTTTGGAGTGTTGCTGACAGTGTATGAAAGTTTGTGAAGTATGTGCAAGATGAGGTTTTCTTTGCAATTTACAGGATAGAAATCTTCTTGCAAGTTAAGTTATTTACATGGTATAAAGCGCAGCAGTGTGTCCCACAAATACACGTTAATCACTCCCATGATTAGACTCCCATGAACAGACTCCCAATCTGTTCAAATAGGCTTTAAAAAATTTCTCGTACTTCAAGGAGGTAATAAATTTTGAACAAATTGCATAGGCTAGAACAAGAGGACTTCATAGCTACTCTAAGTCCTTGGAGGAAGAATGGAAATATTGTGATCCACTTGCTGTGCTGTACGATTTCTTGCTTCATGTCCCTTTAAGGACTTTTTATTTGACATGCCTAATTTTTAAGTTGTACTTAAGTTAATAGTTAAGTATAATCCCAATTGTATGAAGTTAAATTTACTTTGAGAGAGACTAGTTGTTTTCTGTTTGCCTGTATCTTTACAATCCATCTTACCTTTCCTGCTTCATACGGGCTCTCCCAGTTTAGGTCAGAGACCTCCTATTTGTTGCATAAAGCACACAGCATATGGTTTTTCAGTACTTTGTGCCTAGTAACTAGGGTAAGGATTTAAGTCTATCTCAGGCCAGAGCAGCACAATCCTCCTGAAGCTGTTGAGCTTTCACTGGGTAACTGTGAATTAACAACATACGCTATTCTGACTGTTAATGCAACCTTCTCCAAGCTTACATGTGAAAGAGCTCTCTTCCAAATACAACAGTGGAAGACCCATAAACTGATTTCCCCCAGCATTCTGTTTGTTTGCTGGCAGAGCACTTGCCTATAATCAGCTAGTTAACACGATCTCACGTAGGATTCGTAATAACCACCCTTTTCCTCTGTATCATGTTGCAAGAGTGATAATCCAGTGGGCTGCTTCCATGTTTAGGTTTTAGGCTTAATCTCCCCTTGCTGAAGGGGCTTTTTTTAGAAGGAAGACCAGAGCTCTGGATTTAACTATGCTTCTGTAAGATCTGGTATGTTTGGAGTATTTTATGGCAGGTTAGTTTGCCCTGAGCAAACAAAAACTGTTAGCTCCTTTGCTTTCTCCACCTGCCCCCATGCTACTACTGGCTCCTCTACTCTTGCCACCCACTCTACTGACTGTAGTAGTGCTGGGCCTCTCGAGACAAAACCACTGTATGCTTTTGGTCGTAGACACTTTATTAATGCCAGGCACTGTAGATAGCAGGGGAATGGCCATTTGGGGTCTCTTTAGGAATGTTAAATTCCAATTCTTGGAAACAAATGAAAGGCTTCTCATTCACCCGTGACAACACATACCGGTCTGAATCGTGCACTTAGAAGGTTACTTAGTGAGCAAAGCATGTCTCTCTGCTTTTCAATTCATCTGTGTGGTTTTAAGCCACAACTAATCTTTCCTTGTCAGTGACACCTGTGGTTTTCCTCTGTTAAATATTTGATTTGGAAAGAAAAACATGCAAGGTAACTTCCACTCTTTGTGACTCTAATTTAAAACCAAGTCTATCCATTTTTAATAGGAATGTGCTGTGCTTAGCCCAGTAAGTCACCTTCGGGATGAATTGGCTATGTCTGCGCTGGTTTCTGCATTCCATGTGTTTTCTGCATTTCAGAGCCAGTAGGTGCTTAGCACCTATATACGAGTTCAAAGAGCATTAAATGTGACTTGAAATTTTACAGAACATTAGGTGGCTGAAGATATTTTAGGAACTTGCACTCCAATAGTATTCTGTGAAGGCTTTCCTTGTAGCAAACCTCTCTGGTTAGGGAGACAGAACAATTCCAGTTTTTTAAATGTTAAGTGATCTCACTGTTCTATCAGTCTCCAGTATTACTATAGAGAAAGAGGAAAGTACTGATGTGAGTTAAACCACTGGTAGGAAATACTAGTTATGTCTGAATTAATGATCTGAAATATTTTTAATCAGACTTAATAGAAAGAAAAGTGCTGGGAAAACTCAGAGCCACAGAATATAGACA